AAAGAATAGTCCAAGGCAATTAAAGTATGTCCGGAACATTAGCAGCCCTGGTGATTTACATATGTTGACACTGATGGTGGTAGTCATTCTAAATCCGAACTCGGGTTCAGTAAGATCTGCGCATGAACGGCGGAGATGCACCAGTGAGTGTTTAACATCCGGGACGACCCAACCACTGAGAATAAACGATAAAAGACATAGATACAGGTAATTGCCACTATCATATCTTCTCTATGAGTAGCGCATGTGCTTATGTATATTATAGGTGTGTTTGCATGGAAAAAATAAGTTTTATTTAATGATTTAGTATATAACATGTAATTTTTGGTGCTTATGCACTTCTATTGGAGAAGCTGTTCAGTTCACATCAGGATATTTGTAAACCCCTGTTTGGAAGTCACTGTGACCTGCTGCCTATGGAATTCCAGTTTTGGGATGGTGAGGTTTTGGATGGATGGTTTGGAGAATCCTCACCGTATTCTACTTCGACATACATTTTATGGATAAACAGTTAAACCATGATTGTCATGGTTAATGATTAATGTCATTCCTAGTCATTATTGAAGGCACTTATATTCTAAGGCTATAGTATCTTATTTAGTGAATACTTGATTTCACCACTATGGTTTTATGTAATCGGTGGTTACTTTCTTGTATCATGTGCTGGTTGGTTACACAAAATGTAATCATAAAGTGTGGGATGGATGAATGTGTCAAGCCCATAGTTTACAGAATAAGACATCAAATCGTAGAAGATCTAGAAAGTACCAACTGCACTGTGATTTGTATATTGTCCATACTTTAAAAAAATGTGATGTTGCATTTCTTGCCTAAACCACAAAGAAGATAATGAGTCTATAGGAAGATAATCTGTCTATACATAATTTTGATCGAATTTGGTACACGAGTCTGGGCATATTAAGTAACTACCGGTAATTTGCATATTTTCTCATTTCAGCTCATGTAAGCAAAATCTCAATATTCTGAACCGATTTTGATTAAATTTAGTAGATAAGTACCTTGGGGTACAACAAAGACTTGATTAGTTTTGGGGCCATGCCTGTGCATATTAAGTAGCTAATTTGCATATTATCTAATTTTAGCCTGTGTGTACAAAATCTAAAAAACTTTATATTGAATTTTGATCAAATTTGTGATATATTGATGCTGAACATCAAAAACAACAATGATGGCATATATTCTGTATTCATTTTCTGAGTTTAACTTTGATATGTAAACAGGTATAACATTAACAAGTTGTTGTCAGATTAATGCTTTGTCAAGGCAGTCCCTCAAACCACTGGTCACTGATATTTGGGCCTCACTGTGAATGCTAATATAGTGAACTTTTATGATCATTGTGAGATTTAACACAACTTTATTCACCCCACTACTTGCTGCTATGTTTTATATTGTACCATCATATACTATTTGCTCTAGTATAGTAACTAATATAAATCCAACATTACATGTAAAACACATAAAAAACACATCTGGAGTTTAAATGAGCATAGATAGGTACAGATGTCCAGTTTTGTTGCTGTTTTTTGCCATTCCAATATATTCTGCAATTCACTATACCATAATTAAAGAGACGCTTATCAGAACTGAACATGTGATTAGGTACGCTCACACAACAATGAATGTTTACCAGTACACAAGAATAGTGGCCACTTTTTAGAGATCTACTACAAGAGAGTTTCACATGTAAAATTTGTGTTAGTGCTTGGTCATAATTGAGGAATTTTTGTGATGATAAAATATTACGACTGTGAGCAATGTTTATATTTTAAATGTGTTATCCGCATGTAGTGTATGCAAAGTAGGTGAAGACCAACCAGAGAACACAGCAGTGGCACTTGCGCAGATCTGATGACAGTGGCACTGTGAAGTGTGTTTCTACATGTATTAAGATGCACTTCTACATGTATTAAGATGCACTTCTAATAGAGAAAATGTGTTAACCTGTTTGCACAATGATCATGAAAATGTGATTTTTAAGGCAAAATATTACCATGTGATACACTGCCCTCTGGTGGTTATACCTGGAAATCTTGTTTTGCAATCTCTATTTCATTTCTACAAAGTGCACCGCCTCAAGATGGTTCAATAGGAGGAGATGAAGAGGTGTTATCTTCCAGTATTTCATCCAGTATACAAGGCTCACGAGAATACTTGCCACCACAAAGGAAATCCACCAATCCTGACCCTGTATCTGTGCCGTATCTCAGTCCGCTGGTACTTCGCAAGGAGATGGAAAATGTTATCGATAACGAAGGTGACATCTGCTTTCTTTCGTCTGACTTTGTAGATGAACATCCAATCATCTTTTGGAATTTGGTGAGTATTATAAAGTCTCTGATTTTGTTTCTCTACTTGAATTTTTATTAATGAATATAAATGGGTCTTTGCCATAATTCATGTCTGAAATTGGTGAAATAAATGCAAACTGCAACGAAATGTCGTGATCGTCCTTTCAAAATTCCTTTGAAAACAGGTAATGTAAGAAACTTGTCTTGCGAAATTGAAGCCGTTTATTTATTTATATTTCTCATATTTACAGGTTTGGGTTTTTAAAAGAGTGGAACTCACCAGTAATTTACCAGGATTACTGTTGTCAGCTAACAGCATTAATAAAGAGCATCACATTGTAAGTTGAACAGTAACATGTACACCTTGAATTTCAGCATTTTTACCACCAAAATTTCAGCACAATAAATTGCAAGTTTATTTTGCCAAATGTTGCCTGGATTCAAAAGTCAACCAATTATAAATGTCAACAAGAACCGGTCTCTGATAGCATAGTGGTTTTCGCATCAGACTGATTGGTAGACCCAAGTTCAAATCCTACCTCAGGTTGAACATCAGAAGGGTCGACCCCTACCCTGGGTGAGTGTGCCTCAGACTCAATGGGAAGGCCAGTTCCACTGGCCGAGATTCATTCACTAACGACAAAAACTTAATAATATAATGCAGAGAATACCGTAAGCTGTGGCATAAGCTTTAGCTTCTTTTCGCTACTATCGAAGGTATGTGGCATTGCCGTGACTTCTGCATAGCTTTGCGCCAGCTTCAAATTAGCTTCATCTCATTTTTCAAAGTACAAGTATTAAAATTACTTAATGAATCCCAAACTTAAATTCCAGCATGTCCTGTTTGTACATGTTATAATTATATGCATGTAATATGCCCCCCCCCCTCTTAGCGAAAAGTCTCTAAATTTCAAAATTGCACAAAATCACAGAATATGGTCTGAAAACTGTCTACATACAAGTAAATGCTGATGGGATTTAGAACGATAACATGAAAGCCCAAAAGTTAAATTTTATATTCAGCAACCCTGAAAGTTTCCTTTGGCATAACTGACATATATTTCTCTACCCATCAAATCCAGTGATATGTAAATTATGCCAATTTGTGACTCCATTCAAATGCTCATTAATGCTCTTTCACTATTTATACACTCAAATAATATTTTATTACATTGAAGAGTGACTGTATACATGTCTAAGCTAGAAGATATTAACCATTTTTGGAAACTCCTGTACTGTGACTTTAGTTATATTTATTTTGTATGTATTTTTCATCTAACAGCAATCAAGTAACCAGTGGTTGTCTCGTGACAGTCGACACGTCTTGATCAATGCTTTGTGGGATAATCCCAAATATCAAGAATCCAGACCACCAATGTACACTGTGTGGAATGCAATACAGCAAGGATCTTCTGTAGATACACTTATCAATGAACAACATGCATTTTCTGGAAAGTAAGTAACAAAACAGGGACTGCATTCATTCATTCTTTATTCATTCATTCAGAAATACTTATTGTGACCTATCACTACCCATCGTACCTCAAATACATTACTTTTATTCATTGCAACCCAAATTCATCATTATTACACAGTATCCCCATCAATGCATTATTACTGCCCATTGTACCCCAAATACATTACTACCACCCATTGTACCCCAAATACATTACTACCACCCATTGTACCCCAAATACATTACTACCACTCATTGTACCCCAAATACATTACTACCACCCATTGTGCCCTAAATACATCACTCCTACCCATTGTACCCTAAATATATCACTCCTACCCATTGTATTCTAAATACCTCATGACTACCCATTGTATTCTAAATACCTCATGACTACCCATTGTATCCTAAATACCTCATGACTACCCATTGTACCAATACCTCATGACTACCCATTGTACCAATACCTCATGACTACCCATTCTACCCAAATACATCCAGACTTACTGACTACTGATTGTACCCTGAATACATCATTATTACCCAATATCCCCCATGCATCACTACTACCCATTGTATCCAAAGTACATCACAACTACCCATTGTGCCCTAAATACAGCACTGCTACCCATTGTACCCTAAATACAGCACTACTACCCATTGTACCCTAAATACAGCACTACTACCCATTGTACCCTAAATACAGCACTACTACCCATTGTACCCTAAATACAGCACTACTACCCATTGTACCCCAAATACATTACTACAACCCATTGTACCCCAAATACATTACTTTTATTCAAATTTACCCCCATACATCACGACTACCCATTGTACCCTAAATACAGCACTATTACCCATTGAACCCAGATACACTACACGACTTATGGTGTGGACTATAATTGATAGCACCTAATTGTTGTACTGCCCTCGCATATTAATGTTCACCTGATTACAGATTTATGCAGTCTATCGTGCAGGCCATCCAAGGCAATGATGTAGGGACACCGATACGGTGGTTGTTAGAGCAATACAGGAAACGTCAACCTGATAAAAGACATCGTAGCATTTACAGAGATATATTATTTTTAGCATTAATTGCTTGTGGTCGTCAAAACATAGATGTTGGTAAGATAATTGATTTGTTTGTTTGTTTGCTACAACCATACCGTTTTTATGCTGAAAGATAATTTATTATAATTTTTATTGTTAAATTTCTACTGATCAAGGATCATGATTTAAATTTTTATTTTTTTCCCTTCAAAATATCAGTGAAATATTTTTAGTCCCCGTTCGAACGAAGTCTGAAAACGGGACTATGAATTTGGGTTTGTTCTGTCCATCTGTCCATTCATATGTATGTATGTATGTCCAGAGCTATATCTCGGACACCCGTTAACGGATTTCATGAAGACAATACATATGTGCGTCAAGTTACTGTATGATCGAAGCAAAAATGGCAGACTGGCGGCCATTTTGGATGTGACATTTGCTATATCTGATACCTAAACATGTTCGCAGCAGTTTCTCAGAGATGTCTTGGCCGATTTGGATCAAAGTTGGTATGGTGATTATACATATTGGGTAATAGGTGCACGTCATATTTTTTCCGTGACATCTTGTTTTTCATGATACATGATACCCATGCCTACTTTCCCATGAATGCAATGAACATTTCTGTTTAAATTTTGAACAAAGACAGTATACCAATAGATACATCAACATGAACATTATTTTTTTTATTTGATTCAATATGACTGCCCAATGTCCAATTCTTGTGTAAAAGCACTAAGGGGTGATCTCATATTCAAACATGCGGGTCAAACCTACGAAAACCCAAACCGCCCTAAACCGCCCGAACAAAACCCAGTTTTGCGGTTTGGAAGTTTAAACAATAGACAGTGCAGTTCAGGACGACCGCACGAATTTGCATAAAAACTGCGGTTCGAACCGATCTCATTCACACCTCATTCAAGCTGTTGTTTATTTTTAGGATTGACAGTTTACATTGCTTTTTGAAGACTAGATAGTTGTCTGAAAAATGTGTTGATTTATCGGTGTACAGTAGTCATTTTACCGTGTGTCTTGCCTAAAAAAAACACTCTATCATATATCGGTGAACAGCGTGCTGAATAAATTGTTTTGTTTTGATAAACTGTTATGCTCGCTTCGCAAATTGAGCAGAGGACGTGAATCAGACTTTTCATTGGGCTGGACAATTGATATGTGTCTCTGACAGCTAATAAGTATCAGAAGACGAACATTTGTTGATACAAAGTTGCACTTGAGACTTACGCTACAGTGTTCAAGCCTTTACTACTGTTGGGTGTTCAATTTTCAAACAGTTCTTTCAGGAGTGCGTCATCGCAAAATCCGGAAAAACAAATGCAGCGTACGCGACACGAAGTATCAAAACAGAAAATTAAATTAAATGGACTGGCGCTGATTATTTAAGGCTACTAGTATTCATCTGCAGACGAGACTGCTTATAAAATACGAACCCTGACCTCTGAAAATACCTTATTCATAGAGTGCCTTGTACCTAAGACCGTCGCCCAAGGCGACACAGTGCACGTTGCGATATCGCAATCGATGCATGCTGGGTGACAAGGAGAAATTCTGATTGAGGTAACCAAGATGGCTGCGTTGAGTGCATGATTTTCTGCGGTGAATTTAAAAACAAATCCTCGCTGCCTACTTCGCCCGCAGTCCCTCAAAGCACTGTACTTCGATGTATTTTCTAAAATAATCGTTTATTTTTAATTAACCGGGGGTTCGAAATGTGTGCATTTTGTCACCGAAAAGTAAGATTTCGGCAGCGGTAAATACCCGTAATTTCCCCGCAATGCCGTCAGCTGACAATGTTACGGTGGTCGTAGCACAGGCGCTCGGAACGTTTCTTGGCTAATAAAAAATGACCTAAAGTGGGATGTTTGGAACTGCGCATGGATGGAGCTGCGCATGCACGAGCCTCTGCTTCAAATATACAGCGTAGACGGGTTGATTTATATTGCTCTGGTGTTTCGATTTTCACAGGATTTAACCCGTTTTAGTTCGAATAAAGGAAATGTAAGTCGATCAATAGTTTCTACCGATATCATGCTTGAGTTGTGTGAAGCGAATCAAAATATAATTTGGAAAATCGTGTTATTTTCGGGAAGTTTCGATGTCATGGTGTCAACGCTTTCCTACCTTGTGTTATTATATGAGTAGTTGGGAAATTTACCGGCTACTGACTAACTATGCCGATCCCACTTTAGGTCATTTTGTATTAGCCAAGAAATGTTCCAAGCGCCTGTGGGTCGTAGCGCCGGAGTCGTAGCGTTTGCCCCGACTTTAGTTTTCACACAGTGATAGAGGAAATGTGGTTTTCAGATGCCTTCGTGAAAAACAATGTTGCCATTATCTATTTTATATCATATCATCATATTTTGATAACTCGCAGTCTCACAGACTTTACAAATTTAACCAAAAAATGTGTTCTATGAATTTA